AAAGTCGTCGGTCATTGGAGTGAGACTTTTCATAAAGTTGATAGACAATGAATGATTGTTTTGATTCTTAACATTTATTCGCCTTACGATTGGCTGATGGATCAATCACTGATTTTCATGACTACGAGGATATTATTGTGCGCTATAGCGCGCATGATTGCCTAGTATAAACAAATTTGTGACAGAAATATTTCTTTTTTCTTGGGTAGGGGAGGATGGAGTAAAATGGACACTTTGGACTTTTTAAAGTTACTCATAACTCAGAAACAAATTCATCAATTGAGCTCAGTTTAGGCTCATTACAAAGGGAAAGAAATGTTCTTTGCATTGAAGAAAAAACTATTGAATTTCATCAACATTTCAAGCTGTTATTAACATTTGAAAAAAAGTCAAAAGTGTCCATTTTACCCCAACCTCCCCTAAACTTTGGTCACGAGTTTTTAGCTTCAGTTTTGGTAGAATGTCTAATTGATTCGAGTATGAGGAAAAAACAATAATCGTGTGGGGAAAAAGGAATTGTCTATTGTATAGTCATTTTGTTAATTTCATCAATTTTTGTTAATTGAATTAATTGAATTCGTTGAATTCTCTTGTGGATTTTGAGCAGTCGTCGTGACGGAATTGAAATACACGTGGGCTGTAATGGATCCAGTGGCTTGTGTCCCTCGTGGGATTCTATTTTTGGGTAAACTAGACCAACGTTTCATTCAGTCGAATGACTGGCTCCACTGTCAAATCCCCTGTAAACTACCCAGAAATCTTGATTATTTACATGATTAACTCCACTTGCGAGTGGGAGTTACGATTTAGATTGATTTTCCATTGAAGTTTAATGACAATGTTGGTGAATATTCATAAATACATGTGGAGTTTTCTCGACGTCTGGATTGCAGATTCCGGGGGTGATGTGGAAGTGGTAGTGGCTTCCAACAAGGAGATCAAAGTGAGTCCCGTTCGTGAGGCCTTCCAGGGAGTTTTTGGAAAAGCGACTGTCAGGTAGTTGAATCCAATAATTGACAAGAGTCAGGACGTTAAAAATACAAATACACTGAGAGAAAAACAAACATGTTGTCAAACAAGTCTTTGGGCCAACAAAATCGCTAGTTGGAAGTTGCCGAAAAAGAATTTGTTTTTTTTTAATGTATTAACCCATCATGGGTTACTTACAGCCAAAATAATTGCATATTACAAAGTTATTCAGCTTCGTAGGACATCTTTGTTCGGATACTATTAATGACTAATGCGTGTTTTAAATTTTAATTTTACATTTTTTAAGAAACTGGTGTATTATTCGCAGGGGTGCAAGGTCATTTGCCGTCAGAAATGAAGTTATGGTATACGGTCTAGGACATTTGTGTTTAATTAATTTATCATTCATTATTTGTTTTTCTTAGCTAGAGTACTCTGGACATTGCTATATCACATGGTCAATGTCCTGTATTGCGGCTCCACAGGCGCATTCTGTGGTGTTAACAAAACCTGTGCGGTAAAGAGACTTGTTCAGATGATAGTGGCCAGCTCGAGCCCTGTTAACCCAGACTATAAGTTCATTCGTTTGGTTCGATTTTGAAAGTCTCAAGCATGAATAATTGTTCTGCTTTCGACAGCAACGAAAGCAGAACAATTATTGGCTCAAGAGGCAGATAATTCACACCAGACGTGCCTTTCCATCCCTTGTTTCGCGTAAAACAAAGATTTTTCGGGAGCAAAATACGTATGGGAGTATCGAATAACGAAGGAGTGGTGCTAGAAATGACATTTCTTGCGTGTACAGAGAATGCAATTTTTTTTCAACTACTAAATCTATTTTTGCGACGAGAATTTTTCATTCCAGCGCACTCTCTCCACGTTTGGCACAAAAAAAATCCTTTTTTGATAATTTTCAAAAAACTATTTTCTTGGCACAAGTAAGACTTGTTTGAGAACTTTGTCGTTTTTCTCTCAGTGTAGTCTAAAATATGAAATCACAGAGATAAAAGTCCCCTAGACTTTCTGCATTCTCCTCTCCTTCATCTCTCCATTCTTCAAGTTATTCTCCCACTCGTCTATTTTCTCTACATTCAACATTTCTCCCCCTTCAAACACCCAGTGGAGTGGCTGTGGACACATCAGCAGTGCCCAAGACCCCAGTGGGTTTCGATGCCGGTGTAGCAGCAGCAGAGATGAGGATAAAGTACGCAAGAAACGCTCACGAAATTCCCCAGGAGGTGCCGATTGTCGGGGTCCAGAGCTTTCTACTAGAAGTGGGACAGGACAAGTGGTACGAACTGGGAGTCATTCTTCTCGAGGACCAGAAGAACAAAGTCAATCTGCAGACGTTTACGCAGATGACACCGGTGCCCAGTCAAATAGTGACAGCTGCCAAGGAGGCGACTCCTGGGGACTATCCCCTGAGGTCTCTGGGGCTCGCTGTGCACATTGGGGCTTCCATGGCCACCAATTTACAGGTTATTCAATATTTATTAATTCATGACGTGATGAAGATGAAGATAATTCAATTTTTCGTCCCAAAATGAGCGATTTTGAGACGATAAATTTTATTAGAAAATAAAAAAATTAGATTAAAGGCGATTCGTTTTACCTTTTTCGTTTATTTTTCTATTTTTTGATAAAATTTATAAACTTATTGAAATTACCACCCCAGGACGTGACTAATCGAAAAAACACAAAAGACGAAAAATGTAGAGCTCAGTGAGAGCTTCAAAAAAGAATATCATTAAAAATTGAAAAAAGATGACCATCTCACAATTCGCGAAAGTGACTCTTTCAAAGGCTTTTTTATTGTTTTTCTTAAATTTCACTCCACTTGAAAAGCAAAAAACCATTAGGGATGATTTATTTACGTATCACTATCCATCGATTTTTAAAAATTATGAACAATTATTTTATTTCCCTCGATGTTCCAGGTTGGATACAACGAGTGGCATCACGCATTAACCGGTGTCTCCCGAAGGGATACTATTCTCCTCGCAGCCCAATCCCTAGCTGGTCTCTACAAAAACACGATAACGTCTGTGTAGTATTGACGAATTTTGCTACTGCGATAATATCTTGTACATAAAATTGAAATATCGTTGCCCCTCGTAATTATCGATAATATATCCTAGATATTAATGAGTCTATCAGTGAAGTGGTGAAGTGTAACTTATTTTTGTTGAATGTGTAATTATCTCGATGAAGACGTGATTTTTTCAAAGAACTACTTCTTCATGAGATGAATACACTCATCAACAGAATTATAAAATCTTCACTATACCAATATAATCAATATTCCCCAGTTTTTGTTAAACTGATTTATGTTGACAAGTCGATTTAATCCTTATGCTAATTTTATTTTAGGGAATGAGAAATAACAGATCCTGCAGTATTTAATATTCAATTGCAGAATATGATTCTGTTAGATTGTTTCTAGTGCATTTAAATAAATATCAATATTTTCATTAAATAAGTTTGTTCATCCCTTCCTTTTTTTGAACAATTTTTCGTTAGGCAAACCATTTATTTCACATCTGGTCGTTTTATCCTGGGAAGGCTTTTTTTAATCTCCCATTTATTTTCTTTGTTTTCGTCCAATTTTAGTACCTGTTAGGATTTGTTTTTCTTTGTTTATAATTTCCAACACTTTCGTCAAAGGAATGAGTCACGAGTAATTGTCACAAGGGTCACAAGAGTTGATTTCCATTGGAAATTGTACGAAAGGATAAGGAAAATAAAAAAATCATCATTTTTATTCATCAGTTTCTGTATTTTCATGTATATTCACTCGGCCCCGAATACACAGTGCATTATCCTTAAATTTTCGTCTCATTCGTTCAGTCATTTTGAAAAAGGGAGGGAATAAAAAAAAACAACCAAATTAACGTAAAAATAAACCAGATGAGGGAGGGAGTAATGAGAGCATTAAAAAACCATATTGTACAAAAATTACCGAATTTCAATATCTGAATAGCTTACAGAATGGTTACAAATCAATTTTTTTCATCCAGTATTTCCATAATTCTCCACTAGAATAATAAAGAATGTTATTAGTTAATTGATAATCGTGAAAAATGAACCACGGAAACGTAAAGCCGAACGTGGTAGCTGTCCATCGCTCGAGCGATATTCAAATTGAATTACAATATTTAAATAGGATATTTAAATAGAGTGCGAGAGTCCCAATTGGTTACAATTTGTCGAGGTATGAAGCCAAGTCAGGGAGTCCGTCCTTCAATCCCTTCCTCTTTCTTGTGTCCTGTGAATTCATTGAAACAAAACGAAATTAGATTTTTCTGGCATTCATCATTTCATGAAATAGGGAATGGAGAATGGTGAATGTATGTTTCTCTATTCAGACCGACCAGATCGACAGCTGGAGAGTCGAAACTTTAAAAAACAAGATGTATTATATTCCACGAATTAAAAAATGACTAGATAAAATGAAAATTCGTAGTCATCAGTTATGATCGTGGTTGTTGTAATGCTTTTCCAAGTTTCCAGACATTTTCAAATGATTTTATCGCTCAAACTTTGCAGGTCTAAATTTGAGTCTCGATATTAAACCGTTAGAAAGCATTTTAAAAATAATTAGAAAGTCTACTTTTGGAGGAAGACTGATGAAATAATTTGAAAATGGCAATTTTTAGCAATTGCGAGCATTTTCTATAAATCATTTATAAACAACGAATGTTTAAAAAACTAATAACTCTGTGCAAAATGGAAATTGAATGATATTCCTGAATATTTCTGATTTTTTCCAATTTTTTTCAAAACGAGTGGTTTTACCAGGAAATGTCAGTGCACCTTCTTTGTAGCTCATGAAATTGCAAACAAAAAATGTCTTCCGATATTTTTTTCAAACCCAGTTCATTTCAGAGATATTCACAAAATGGTGATGCATTTATCTCGAAAACGAGTGAATCTAGAATAAATGTCGAGACATCTCTTCAGCTGACAAAATATCCAATGAGGCCAATATTAAAAACAACATTATCATGTTAAAATGCCAAAGCATAAATAAAATCCTCAAAAAATTACCTGAACGACTTGGTAAGGCCTAGTCCCAGGTTCAGTGGGATCTCCAGGAAGTATCTGCCAGTGATCGAACACACACTGTGGGAATGCCTGTCCCCCAGTATTGGATCTCAAATCGGCAGTGAAGCCAAACGACTCGTTGACAGGCAGATACGCCTTGACCACGAACATGGGAGTGCCAGCGACCTGCTGTTCCTCGAAGACATGGCCACGTCGACGATTGAGTACACCGTAGATACCTCCAACAGCGACCTCAGGGCACTGAATCTCACAGAGGTAAACGGGCTCCATGAGCCTGGGGGCAGCAGTCAATAAACAAGCGTAAAGACAACGTCTTGTCGTGGGGATTATCTGTCCTCCACCCCTGTGGATGGCGTCAGCGTGCAGTGTAACATCGTAAATGTTGAACCTGTGGGAATTTAAAACAAATTTAATTTAATAAATTACTGTAAATATTTTTATCGCCTAATTATGATATTTTTTGTCATTTATATTAGTTGGAAGACATCGATTAAGATTTTATCCTGAGAAAATTTGAATTGAAAGAATATTTATTTCATTTTTACTAAGTGAATTAGTGTGTTTTAGCTTGGCACAAATTTGTCAATTAAATTGCAAAATTTTTATCTCTTAACCTTCATTGTTTATAGCTAAATAATTGAAATTGTTCAAGTTTCGGAAACTTTTTCTTTGCATAAATTGTGATTATTTATAAAAATTTATAGAAAAACCACGTAATTTCCAAAAATTGCTATTTTTAAATTACTTCAGCAATCTTTCTCCAAAACTGGAAAATCATTTTCCTGCAGGAAAAATCGCCAAAGTACTTGGATATCCTCAATGATAAAAAAACAATGCAACTGTGAAAATAATTTAATGGGTAAAATTCATTGAAGAAATATAAAAATGAATTTTAGTTTCCAATTAACATTGAACTGCCATAAACGTAGTGAGAAAAAATCTAAAAAAACTTTAATTACAAACCTGACACCCCTCAAGTTCTCCTCAGAGAGGACTCCCTCCTTCGTCGCCCACTGGAATCCAGCGACAACAGAGTCCTTGATTTCGTTGAGATACTGCACTCCCTTTGTGCAATCAACAAGAATATTGGGACCAGTGCCATCAGGGCCGAAGCACCAGATCTTCCTGGCCTCAGTCACGTCGTAATCGTACTTCTCCCCGAGATATCTAGCACGAACCTTGAAGTCGTCTCTGGGGTTGACATCACCATTGTCAATGTCCTCAGCAAGACCATCGGGCATCGGTTGGGCCTTCATGAAGAGACGATTGTGCTTGTTGGGGGATTTCGAGAGACACATTTGGTCGGACTCCTCGGAGACTGTCTCCCTGTACGACACCACTGGATCTGACTTCTTGATTGGAATGCATGCGTGATCGTCCTCGAGATCCTTCAGGCAAATCTCCAGGTGGAGCTCACCAGCTCCTGCGATTATGTGCTCTCCTGACTCCTCGATTATACATTGGACCATGGGATCAGACTTGGCGAGACGCTTCAGACCTGGGGATTTTGAAGATTTTTAGCTGGAGTTTTACGCGAGGAAGGGTTCAGCGATTTTCAATGGGTTCATCAGGTGTCAACGCTAATCATGGGAATTCATAACCCAGTGCTCGGAAATTTTTTCATCATTTTAGGGAGATCTTTAGGGATTCAATGGGTTTCATTAATTAATTATTTCACTTGACTTGTTTTATTTTCATCGTGACTGTTGATTTAGCAAAGAATGGGATGTTTAATATTAAATATTGAATGAATCGCAACTAAAATGCATCTACTTAATAAATATCAACACTCACTCATTAATTTTTTGTTCAATAGAATATTTAACAATACCTATTTACAATTAATATTGATTTCATGGAATATTAATCCGATAATTAAATCCATTAACCATGTAAAATTGATTGATAAATCCATACCTTCAACGAGTTTGGGCAAATCAGCTGGATTTTTCGGTTCAACAGCAACACGCACAACAGGTGATACAGAGAACTTCATGACCTTCATGTTGTGTGCATCCTTGAAAGTGGTGATCGTTCCAGTCTTCACCAGGAACTGATCGACACCGACGAGACCACAGATGTTACCTTAAAGCATCAAAAAAGAAAAGTTGATTCACACAAAAAAATAATAAAACAGCCAGAGAAATTATTGAAATCATTGGGATCAGTTCGCCGTTGTAATATCGATTCATTTATTAATTCAGAACAGGTCTGTGTAGAACAATCATCATGTCGAAGATAATTAATGTAAGTGATATAATGAATGAGGGATGAATGAACGATCATTTTGATTAATTACCTGACGGCACATCCTCGATGGCCTCGACGTAACGCCCCATCATGAGAATAGTACGCTGGATGGCCTTCTCGTAGAGATCTTCCTTCTTTCCTGGCACGAAGTTGGGCCCCATGATACGGGCCTTCATACCAGTGCAGACTTTACCGGAGAAAACACGACCAAAAGCGTAGAAACGTCCCTTGTCAGAGGTTGGCACCATTTTTGAGACGTACATCATCAGTGGTGCATTGGGATCGCAATTCTGAATGGAGAATTCGAGAGAGGAATATTAGAACTGGTTTATTAATTTTTCACATCTGTTCGTTATGATCAAATGGACTCAGTTGGCCGTTCTTATCGTCTCTCATTTGATTTCAGAACAGGTCTGTGATAGAACAATCATCATTTAGTTTTTTGGAAAAAATTTCACAGTTGCAAAAGGCTGATATTATTTTTATTCTTTTCATTTTTACGTAAAATGACATAAAAATAAAATACTGGTTATTATTTAATATTAATTTATCAATAGTAATTACCTTGATACCAAGGGCAGCTTCGTCGTCGTGTGGGCCCTCGTAGAGCATCTCCATACGGTATTTCTGGGCAGTTACTGGGGATGGAAGATGGATGGCTATCATCTGAAGTAGAGCCTCTCCAGCTGGCAGCCAGGTTCTCATCACGACCTAATTACCCAAATGAAGATACGAACTCATTAAACCCATGCGTCCACCCCCACAAATTGCATAAATAATTACCCAAATAATATCAGTTTAGTTCGTTGACTCTTCAAAAAAAACATTCAGAAGAGGTGTCAGAAAATTTTAGAACAATCATCACGAAAGCTTGAATTAATCGGATGAATCTAGTGAAGAGGGAAACGGTTTGATGATTACCTTGAGGAGGGCCTTTCCGTCCTTGTCCTTGTCCTCGGGCTTCAGGACGATTCCCAACTTTGAGAGGAGACTGTCAGCCTCCTCCTTCTTGTAGTTCATGATGCAGTCGAAGACCTGGGGAAGAAAGAGCAGTTGCAATTTTAGAAAATGCTCGTCAGGGCTCGATTTTTGATGGATTAATGGAGAAATAGATAATTGTTGTATTAATGTCGTAGCGTACCACTAACGAACATAAAGATAGAGGTTCAATGGTAGCGTTTAAACATCGATACGTTTTATCTCCTTCCACAATGCACTGTCCACACTGTCATGGTACTCCAACAGACTCAGAAAGCCGTGTTATCGTACTACACCGAGACGCTAATGTGCAGGAAGGGATGAGAATAAAAGTGTGAATTTTGGTTTTTCAGATTGACAAATTGACGAATTAATTGTGCGTGTCAAGGGTAGTGTCAAGGGAATTTTTGATTGCTGACAAAATTTACAATCTAAAGTCTTTTGACGTTTCCCTCTAGTGAGATTGCTCCTGAGAATTTGTTATTTTTGGAAATGGAAATGACGAATGAATTTTTTTCCTGAAATTACAAGTATCAAAAACGCAAAATTTCACGAATTACTTAATGACTTTATCTCGCACTCAATATCTCTGAATCTAAGGAAGATGAAGAATTTTGATAGGACCTATTTTGCAGAGAAATTTGAGAGCTACTAAAATGTTTCTATAAAAATTTCACCATCTCCTCTGTATTTCGAATTATTCTCAAAAAACTGATCCCAATGTAGTGCAGCAGATTTTTGTGACGCACTGTGCCCTCAAATCCGATGATTTTAATTAAAAATTCTGCGTAATTCTGCATTTATCTGAAAAACTAGTGGATTTAACCGAAATGTCGAGAAACTCAAGATTTAATTGTCCCTGAGATGAATTCAAACTCAACAAAAACACGAAACACCTCAAAAAATTCCCAATAAAATTACCTTGTAAATAGGATCCAAAACGTACATGCAGAAAGACCTCTTGTTGTCAGCCTCCTTCTGTTTGCTCCACTTCTTGGTCTTGGGATTGAAGAACGACTCACCCCAGAGGCGATTCATGAGCTTGACAGTGTCGATCTTGAATTTCTCAGCGTACATCTCGGAGAATTGTTTGAGTGTGAAGGCCCATCCGTGAAGACCAGATCCAAAACCAACGGAACCCTTGCTGGGATCGACACGCACCTCACCCATGGGGCCATCGTCATCAGAGTAAGTGGCGATGATGACGTTGACGTTTTCAACGATACGCTGGAATGTCTGGTAGAGATCTTCACTGTCCAGCTGGAGCTCGAGCAGAGCACGGTCCATTTTGTTCATGAACAGCACAGGCTTGATACGTTCAGCAATGGCCTGACGAAGTACAGTTTCCGTCTGCACACAGACACCTGATGGAGAAGAGAAACAACAGGGGAACGACGATTAGAAGAGGTGCTGAGGGGAAAATTCGATGGCTGGAATTTTTTAGGGGAATTTTGTCAGTTGGCCGTTCTTATCGTCTCTCATTTGAGTTCAGAACAGGTCTGTGATAGAACAATCATCATTTAGGGATTTTATATCGAGTGGTGCATAGAACGTGAGAGAATAAAACATTTAATATTTTACTCTTTCGATACTTGAATTATCTTGATAGGGATTGGCTTCAGAGGAAAATATTTAGTTTTTGTCAGTTTTGCATTCATCTCAGACACAATTCTAGCTGAAAAAAGGGCTCCGAAATTTATTTTAAATGCACGTTTGTCTAAAATTTTAAATTCAAGTAATTGAATTTGACATTTGACTTTTTTTTTCATTTAAATATTGCCTAGCTGTGTGAGCCCATAATACCCCATGCAGTTGGAGCTACAAATGGAAAAAAATTTCACTGAATTCTCCATATGAACATGAACCACAACTCACCAGAGACGCAATCAACAACGACAAGTGCTCCATCAGTAACTCTCAAAGCAGCAGTGACCTCACTCGAGAAATCAACGTGCCCAGGTGAATCAATCAAATTGATCAAGAAACCCTTCTCTTCCTTGTCCCTCTGATCAGGATTGGTGATGAACACCAAATCCTTCTCGTCAAGCTCAAAGAACATGGAGATAGCTGTTGACTTGATGGTAATGCATCTCTCCTGCTCGTCCTTACGAGTATCAGTGAATCGTGTTTCACCTGCCTTGGCACCAGCAATGATACCAGCCTTGGATACAAGGGAGTCTGTCAGAGTTGACTTTCCGTGATCCACGTGAGCTATGACGGACATGTTCCTGATGTTCTTCTTCTTGTCCATCATCCCACGGATCTCGTCTACGGTAAAGTTCACCTGTAAAAAATTCAATGCCATTTTCCTGTGAATAATGGAGCAATTGTCCTCAAAACTATCGAGTGAAAGGTGAAAAATGACTGAATACACGTGAAAAGGAATCAAATGGGCGTTTGAGTCGAACCTACATCACGTCAGGGCATGGGTAGTCCCCTGCATCCAGGAAAATGGAGATTGAAATTGCTATCAGGCATTCATTCCAATCTAGCTACTGCAATCTCAGTTAAAAAAATCTCCAATTGGTTCGTTGCATCTCTGACGCGAGGCCCGTGACACGTTCTGCACTCGAGACACAGCTCCAAATGTCCCATATTTTGAGACTCAATCTCGCGTAATTAATTAATTTTCGCATGTGACACCTGGAGAATATATTGAAAATACGAATGACGCGATATTCACCATATGACCCCCGAAAAAACCCAGAAATACGGCATTAATTGAGGTTGCGCAATCCGAGGTAACCCCGACCATTTCCCAACATTTGCCCGATAATACCTCGCGGATACCAAAAAATATACCCGGGATCCTGTAGCCCATGAATTCAGAATTGCTCCCAACAAGGGTAAATACTGTTATTTTACGTACCATCTTGGATGTTTTCCGATTATTCCTGTCCCGTTCGAAGATGTACGTGCGCCAACAATGGCGGACTCCCTGGGAAAGAACAGGAGTACGACAGAAACGTGTTGGCTGTCCGAGCTGTGCGGACGAAAGAGGTCGCTGCCATGATTAAAGGCGACTTTCTCCACGATCTCCGCGTGAACATAAAACTTCCCCCTCTCCTCGGAGTTGAGAATGAAGGGCATGTTTACAATTGGCGATGAGGGTGCAGGCGGGTGGATTTGAATGATGAACTGCAATTTTGTTTTAACAATTTTTTTTTTTCATTTTTTAATTAGTATTTTCATTATATTTATTATGTGAGTAAAAGGCCATTTTACGGACACGTCAAACGCTTTTTTTCAGACAGTTTGGAGAAAAATAGCCTCGTGACTCGGCCGAAAAGGCTTTTATGACATCAAGCCCGATAAACCGTGATGCTAACCTAGTGACATAAAATAGTGTATGTCACACGGCGATAAAAATATCATCTGAGAATACTTTTATCGCCTGATGACATAATATACTATTTTGTACTACCTGCTTGAAAAAAATCATTTCTCGTGGTTTAACGGGCGCAAAGTGTTTGCTTTCCGCACGATGTGTGTAAAGTAAATTCCCGTGCGTAAAGTTTTGCTTTCCGCACTCGAAATTTACTCGCCAAACTGCCCCGAAAAATGAAATTTTCAGGTAATATCATAAAAAAGGATTTTTTTGACCTGAAGGCAAGGATTATTACCACTCGACTCAAAAAAAAAATTTCGGCCGATTGACACACCTAAATTTTCTTCCCACAATCTACGAGCGTCCGTAAAATTCTGTTTTACGGACAGTGTGACAAAACGCATATTTTACGTAAGTAGTTTGCAATAGTATTTTCTCAACACGCGGGACTTTTTTAATACCTAGTACCATAAAGTGCTATTCCATCCCACCCGTTCCAAAAGTGTTCACTTTCCGTCCTAGGGCATAAAATCCTCACTTCCGCGTTTCTCCCGAAATTCGAACTTTGTTAAACTTTATTGTACAGTCGTGTCAGCCAAACTATCCCTCACACCATATCATAATCCTCTCTCCTGCGTTAAATAATAATTAACAATAATTCATTGCAGCAACCCCCTTAAAGAACAATAATTCAGTAATTTATATCAATTTTGTCTTGACGAAGTTTTTCCCCCCTAATTACCAAATTACGCGAGCCCGAGTCCTCCACCCCCTCAATAAAAACCCTACCTGGATAACAAACTACAATGAACATTCATAACTCTGCGCAGAATTGTGATCGCGCAAGCTCCGCGCAGCATCACCCGGTTGATCCTTTCTGGAGGCCTCAGTATCACTGCTCCCGTAGACGTGACAGTGTCCAGTGGCTTGACATAAGCCCTCCAAAAACTCCCCCGGGAATCCCAATAAAAAGGATAAACACCTCGATCAAATGGAGTAATTAAAAACAAAATAACCATGAACAACTGAATCGTCAATATTTTTTTTATCAACCGATCACTGACGATCATTCAAATTTGGAATGGCAGATCATGACAACATGTACGACGACGAGGTGAGTTTTACACGGAATTTCACCTCAACTTATTTATTCATCCACTCAACAATCAGCAGTCCACTCATCGCAAAATAAAAAATTAAAATCTTCATTTTCCACCTTCAAAAATTTACTCAGAATTTCATATATTCGCGAGTCTGAATGAATTAATGCACTTCATCCCTCCGGGATTGTCCCGCATGATTCAATTAATCCGTCGCATGCAAAACTCATGTCTCCGTTCAGAACATTTCGTCGCAACCCCCCGAGACCAATAAATTCCATAATTAATGAACACTAATTTATCCCCATCTAATTTTTGCAAAAAAAAATTTCTTCCACACGATTGTCCCCATGTCAAGCTGACGAATAACCGATCCTGACGATCAATCGATGAATCCCGTGGCATTGCCGATAAAAATGTATTTATTCGCGGTGGAAGTGAAGAAAACAGAGTGGGGAAAATAACCCTCCTTTCACCCTCCACCTCTTCATTTCTATCGATTCATGCCGAGCAGCAGCTGACTATGCCACTGGGCTCTCGTGCTCTCTCTGTAAAGAGCACAAATTTTCCTTCATGCATTATGAATTTTCCCAGTCTCTCTTGTTAATCATTCAGACGAGAGTAAAACTGAGACCCTTTGTTATTCGAAAGTCTTTAGGTTTCCGCGCTGATGGAAGCTTCTCGAGATGTGTTATCGATGCTAACAAATCGTCGGGGGAGTTGAGTTGTTGTGGTAGACTCAATAACTTAGAGCAACAGAAAATAAATCTGAAAAATACGGGAGAATATTTTTCTTTTCAATCTACGATGATGATATTCATGCGGAAGTTGATGGAATTGAGGGCCGCGAGTGGTGTCATTGGAAAGCCAGGGAAATTTCATGCGGAGTTGAAAAAAAAATGATCGTTTTTGGTCCGATAGTTTTGGAGATATCGCGGAAAGAAAATTGGAGTGCGTAAAGGGGGGGTTTACGCACGGGAGAGGATATGGATATATGAATTGCGGGAAAGCAAGCTCTCTAGCCCAAAAAAAAGTGAACTCGACAGGTATTACGAAAAATTTATTGGGTTTCCCGCACAATTGCGAAATTTTCCGCACGCCGTGCGGAAAAATTGAAATCCGCAGGTCAAAACTAGTCGAAAAATGAAGTTTTCGGGAAGATATTATGGAAATCATGGTGTGCTACGCGTTTTTCTTTGCAATGAAGCGTGCGCAAAACCGAATTTTCCGCACGCGTTATCAAACACTCTTATCTCGACAGCTACTGCACCAAAAAGAGTCGTCTTTTTTTTAATTCCGCATGAAATTTCCCTGGTTTTTGAATGGCACCCCTTCCAGCCGTCAATCTCTTCAAGTTTTCGAGTTAATTAATCAATTAATGAAGACCTCTTCATCGGAGTGAAGAATTATCATGATTTCGAGCGCAGTGGATACTCAATAACAGATGAGACGAGGTAATTTTATCTTTGTTTATGGAAGAATAGAAAAAAAAATTGTTCGAAGTTGATGAGAAGCTGTCAGTGGATAAAATAAGCCAACCGGGGGCATCCACTATGCATCCAGGGATCAAACGAGGCGCTACAGGAGGTCGTGCTATTTCAAACATGCGCTTATTATTATCCCCTGACGTGTCTGATACCGTGCGACCTTTAAAAAAAGAATAATCGTTCCATCACAACCCCTGGGATCCTTCTAATTGTTTTTTTTCGTCTCTATCGGGGTATTTGCGCATGTCGTGTAATCAATGGCCGATACTTTATCGGAGAGGCTCGAGGGTTTATCCCCTTTCTACTCGTTCGCAATTAGTGGAGGTTTAATTCTGAAACTTCCGGGGGAATTCCTCCGTGTAATTACTCTGTGGAAATTAATCATTTCGTCTCGAATGGGGATTCGTGAAAGCAGACGATGGGATTTAATTTTGGGACAACTTAGTTTTGGCCTGATATCCCGCAATCTAAGGGTGATAGCAAAACTTTTGTCAAGACCCTTTTCGTGGAGAAAATCAAGACCTAGAAAAATGATTTTCACACATATTTCGCTATCTCCTTCGGATTCCGAGATATTCATCAAAAACTGCAGTCTAAAATGATTGACATTGATGTGTCTTATTTTATCACTCAACAACTACATTGTCTAGATAAAACGTGAGTTTTGCAAGGCATTACCTCTTGTAATAGATCTCGCGTGATGTTTATTTACTCAGACAGTTTTAGATCAGCGTTTTAGGGGCCCTGAATGGTCTAATCTAGTCGTTAAACTGAAAGGAGAGAATTCACTGCTAGTCAGACTGACAGAGCACACAATAACGGTTTAATTGATTCGCTTCAATTGCCCACCACCGAACACCTGTAGATTCCTCCCTCAAATATTTGAGTTATCCATAAAAGAAATACTGTCAAAGAACGTTGATATTTCCCGTGTGCATCGTTGAACCATGATGAATCAAATTTACCATTTTCCCCCATTAATCACGAGAACGAGTGAGTTTACGAAAAAAAAAAAATGTTCCCCGGCCTGTCTTGCAGATCTCCCCACTTCTTCACAAAATACGACTGCTGGCATAATCCTCCAACCCCCTCATTACCGAGATAATTAAGCGTTTCCTGAAATCTGAAAAAAATGGCTTATCATCGCTTGATTGATCTCCCTCCGTGTGACGTAGGACCCTCACCCTTATTTTTGTATATAATGCCTCCATGACCCTCTCGGGTCGTTATAACTTCCTCCATCACCTACAGATTCATCTTTCCTTCTCAAGGTACTCACCAAAAAAGAGGGGAATAACAGGTTCATCGATTTTTCTTCCAAGGTCGAAACCGCCTGAAATGCGTGCACAGAATTTTTGTTGACAGAAGATTTTATCTAATAGAAAAACACTTTTTTATTACCATAAAGGTTTCTGCGGAGGGGGCTTCACCCTCTCCCCCGCCCCTCATTTGACCGCCAAGTGATCTTTCATGACTTCCCTATGACCTTCACACGAGCCATACGTCACTTTCTCATTGGACGTTCTTCCAGCCCTCATATAACCCCGCCATAAATTTCATATGATCCCCATTTGACCTTCATAAGACCCTCATGACCTTCACATAACCTCCACATGACCTTCGCATGACCCTTATCAAGACATTAAGGTTAGACGTAACCTTTTCCTCGAGTTCATACTCTCCCAACACCAAACAAAAAATATATTGTAATTTCACCTCCTGATGGATTGAAGATTCATGACTTCTGTATGACCTCCGCATGACCTTTATATGACCTCCTCATTGGCCCTTTCTTCCGCCCTAATACAACCCTTCCATAAGCCCCGATTAACCCCCATTTGACCGTCATAAGGCCCTCATGACCTTTATGTAGTCTTCCCTAGACTTCCATAAGATCTTCACATGACCCTTATTAAGGCATTAAGGTCAGACGTAACCTTTTCCTCGAGTTCATACTCTTCCAACATCAAACGAAAAATACATTGTAATTTCGCCTCCTGATGGATTGAAGATTCATGACTTCTGTATGACCTCCCATGACCTTTATATGACCTCCTCATTGGCCCTTCTTTCAGCCCTCATACAACCCTTCCATAAGTCCCGTTCAACCCCATTTGACCTTCATAAGGCCCTCATGACCTTTATGTAGCCTTCCCTTGACCTCCATAAAACCTTCATATGGCCCTTTCCAAGATCTCAAGGTCAGACGTCACCTCCAGCCCTCATATGACCCCACCATAACCTTCATCTGACCCTCATGTGACCTTCATAAGGCCCTCATAACCTTTAGTAGCCCCCCTTTGACCTTCATAAGACCTTCATATGAACCTTATCAAGGTCTTAAGGTCACCCGTCACCTTTTCTTCGAGTTCATACTCCCCCAACATAAAAAAAAATCTACTCTTTCGTCTTTAGGAGCTGGTGTCCACAAATCCGAATCAAAGAAACTGGCGGGGCATCCTCATAGCCCTTCTCGTTATCATCGCAGTTCTAGCACTTATTGTTACTTCTGTCGCCCTGTTGACCCCACCCGACGAAGGACCTCGAGTACGCGGCACTCGGCTGAGACTTACCGATGTGAGTGGACAAGAATTGTCGGCCGAGGGGGAATAATTCCGTGATTATCTCGACACATTATTTATTGCTCAATTATGAATAGGTGTTATCCGGTGAATTATCACCACCACCGTTCAACGGGACTTGGGTGAGTGGCCGGCATATATGCTATCGCGATCCCTGGGGTGGCATATCACTGCTAGATGCATCAGATCCAAATGTCACGTCCCAGAGTCTCATGTCTAACGAGACCTTTGTGAGTATCTCCCTTATCAATTTAACGTGAGTGGACTCGTGGGAGATATTCACATTTCTACTTTCAGCGGACCCTCAATCCTGCGTCGTTCACACTCTCGCCGGATCATAGGTATCTTCTGCTTGTGCAGAATGTCAAGAAATTGTTCAAATACTCCTTTCTCGCTCAGTACGTCATTTATGACGTCAGCACTAGGTGAATACTTTTTTATTACTCAAAGTTCGTGGAGATTCACTCAATTTCACCTTTAGTTTTTTGGGAATATCTCGGAATCTGTGGGAGATAGTGAAATTTATGTGAAGACCTGGTTTACAGGGAATTTAATTCCCTACAAAAAAGGTCCTAACGAAAATTACGCTACCTGTCATAGATTTCGAGATATCCAGCGGAAACTAAAGTCTAGAACGATAAGAATCAACCAATTTCGTCTTACAACTTTTCCAACGAATTATCCAACATTTATTTCAATGATTCTGGTATAACTCGCCTTCCCGCGATTAGAGAGACGATAAAGGTCACGCCAAATCCAGTGAAATCCCTCCACCCCTATCTACTCCACGTGCAGTGGACCCCACGTGGCCACGGACTTGTGATGGTAGACGACTACGATATTTACTACAAAACAAGTCCAACTTCCTCATCGGAATTTCGTATAACCGATACTGCTGTGCCTGGTGTCCACTCCAACGGCTTTCCCGACTGGTTGTACGAAGGTTTGGAACATTTCCAACGATGAATTAACAGTCTCTATTCCAGGCACTTGAGTGTTTTCATTGTTCGTTATTTCAGAGGAAATTTTACGGAGCTCCCAGGCAATTTGGATGTCCAAGGACGGTCACATGATGCTTTATGCATCATTTAATGACTCTCTCGTCGAGCAAATGCACATGTCGTGGTTTGGGGAGGAGAGTAAATCCCTCTACCCTGAGGTCTGGTCCCTGAGGTATCCGAAACCCGGGACGGCCAATCCTATTGTTAAGCTTTTGATAGCGGATCTGGCGGATCCGAAAAATATTAATACTAAAGTTGTGAGACCACCGCCTGTTATAGAAAATACGTGAGTGATAAAGAAAAGAAAAATCATTATTTTAATTAATTATTAAAAATTAAAAATTATTTTATTGTAAATAATTATTATAAATAATTATATTATAAATTATTTTGATTGTTATTAAGTATTAATCATTCGTTTTTCATTTCGTTATTAAGAATATCACGAAATAATTATTGTAATTAAATAATTAATTAAATGATTGTAATTATTAATGATTGATTAAGCATGATAGACGATTGATTATTTGTAGGGAGCACTACTTCACGACAGCCTCGTGGATATCATTGACGGAGGTCTGCATAACATGGCTGACACGCTCCCAGAATTTATCAGTGATAACAGTGTGCAAGAGTCCCCTCTGGCACTGTCAAGAGATCCAGCGAGTGAGTGAATCACACGGCTGGGTGGACACACCCCCGGATCCCCCGTTCTTCTCGTCAAACAGTAGCAGTTACATTACCATAGCTCCAGTTCGCGATGGCCCGGCTGGTTTCTTCAAGCACATTGTCTGGGTCAATGTCCTTAAGAAACAGGTGGTACCTCTGACACATGGACGATGGGAGGTGGCGAAGATACTTGCTTGGGACCAGGTTAACAACACCATGTGAGTTTAGAGCATTAATCGATGTGGAGTCGCATAGTTTTGGTCGTGGGACTAAAACTATAAAAAAAATTGTTACATCGAGTCTACAATAATGGAGAATTTCCTTACGGAAATCAAATTGATAAATTTCTTCTGCGTGTTTGTCCCGTTGAGCTGCGTAAGACGCGAAACGTATCGGTGTGAGAGGAGTGGGGAGCCCCTCAATGTATTAGGGCGCCGTAAGAAAGACACGGCTGCGCACGCACACCACCGCAAAATGGGGAAGAGTGGGGTACCGTGAGGCTGGGCAGTGGGTTATTGTACCAAATGCCAGGAAAAAAATGCGAAAACACAAAAATAGAGCATTAATAGCGCTCTAATACATTACAGAGGGGAACATTAAAGAAGAGAATTTATATAGCGCACGGAGAGAAATATTCAAGAAAATTCCGTAACTTTTCCGTAATTCCGGACTGAAATGCGGTTGTAGGAAATTTTATGGAACTGTCACTGAATTTTTCCAGAGCGTTCCGTAATTTTTATCTGACTCTCCTGGGACAAATTACGATACCGTCACTTAAATTTTCTGAGTCGATTCCGTAATCGGTAAGCAAATTGTGAGTTCCGTAATTTCTACTGAACATTTCTCTCCGCGAGTTCCACATCTTTGTGACGTCATAGGAAATGAGCGGATGGGATTTGGATGAGGTAGGAGGGCAACCGGGATTATTCTGAATATGAATAACCAGAAAATTTTTTACTGAAAAAATGGATAGTCCAGACCGGGATTTGAACCCAGGACCTTCCGATTATGCATCCGGTGGCCTCCCGACTGAGCTGACCCACGAACGAAAATGACAAAATAAAAAGAAAACACGAAACAATATTAAATTTGCAAAACATCGTATTTACCAGTCTTGCTGGGGACTTTTAGATGGCACCCGTAAAAATTGTTCCCTGGGCGGTTTAAATCGACTCATGTCCCAGTTGAGTTTTTGAAGAATATGTCCGAATCTAAGGGAGATAGCGAATTTTCCATAATTACATTTATTGTAGCTCTCAATGGGCTCTACAAAAAAGATTATAACAAAAATTTAGCTATCTCCCTTAGATTCCGAAATATTCATTGAAAACTGGTCAATAGTCAAAATTGTCTTGTACCGTTTTACCACTTTGCTGCTGAATTCGAATCCTCGAGGTTCTTTAAGTATTAGATTATGGGGTTTAAAACAAAAAACACTTTTTATCTATGTGAACACTTTAATTGAAAAATCTCCAAGACTCTACACAGTCAGGAGGTAGTTGACACTATGAATATCTACGAGAGACTAAAGATGGTTGCTAGTGAGGCCCAGGGTTAATATAGACCTAGGAGGGCGATATAATTTCCACCCCTGAAGCAAACGCTCGGTCTTTCTCTCTTGACCCCGCCTGGTCGCCAGTTGTACTTGTGGGAAAACCCCACATTTGGGAGAAACCCATCAAAGTCCCGAGAGGAATTTTCCCCATTTTACACTCTTAGGGAAGACCCCACAGCAATATAAAGCAATAAACCTTTCCTTAACATAAAAGACCTTGGGAGAGTGAATTTTGATCTCGGGGAGAACCCCGAAATCCAACATTAAGAATCCCCCCTCAATCCCTCGATCAAATCCCCAGCTACTTCATCGGCATTCCCCCCTCGAAACCGGGTCAGCGTCATCTCTACCGAGTGAGTTCGATCCTCCCCGAGGTGGGTTCGGCCCTGCACCCAGCCTTCTGCATCACCTGTGCAGCCCCCGTGATCCCCGATAACCAGACATCCCCGGCTTCCGAGGATCACTTCGTCGGCTCTCCGGTGCACTCCACCATCAAAGACACCGGTGACTGGCACTCCCAGCTCGAGGCCCAGGAGGACGCCGTCCAGGAGGAGGAGCCCCCCCAGACCACCGCCGAGCGGAGAAAACCCGACAAATCGAGGAAAGAGTCGCGTAAGTCATCATTTATCATTAAATATTCTCACTCCTACTACCCCTCACTGGGAAGCACACCTCTTCTTGATAGACTATATTCGCTTGCCACCTATCCTCATATCTATATTTACCACACACATACACACATACACCAGTAACAATAATATCAATAACGTCATTTGTGTCACATACTATCACTCGATGACAATTAATCATTCAATTTGGGAGGCATTCTGCTATCACGAGGAGCACTAGGAAGTTATTACCAGTATTGACAAGTTAGATGGGTAGATCAATTATACTTTGGAATGTGTTTAATTACTCATGATCAGCAAAAGTTCAGAATTAGGCTTCTAGTTGTTTAATTGTAAAAACAAAATTTATACTATTTTTTTTTTGTCGAAAAGATGCTCACGTGTGACTGTTTCTGCAATGGAACCATCACACCTTTGGAGCCTTTGAATGAGATACAGTAGAGGCTTCGTATAAGATACCTCTCTATAAGATACCTCGCGCTTCGAGCGCTCGAGGACTACCCCCACTCTCGGCACTTTTATCGCCTCCCGAATGTTTACGTTCCGTGGGCTCCTTATAAGATACCTATGCCCCCGGTCATTTTTCAACGGGAAGAGAGTAGTTATAAGGATCCAACGATGTTAAGGGTCAAACGGGAGGGACGAATGAAGTGATCATGGAGGTCTAATGACCTTAAGGGGGGGTTATACCACTTTTTTCAAGTAATAGAAATATACATCGATTTTTTTCTCACTTTTCCCATCGAAAAATCGTAATTTTTCGTCTGTGATTAGTCTCGAGTCCACCAACAATCCCCCGACATCAGCTGCCATTCTATCACGCGGGGTTATGTTTAGAGAGAAAAGGGAACACGGGCGATACAAATTCAAAACATTAAACACATATAAATTGATTAGTTATCGATATTCATTCAGTAAAAATGAACATTTCATTGAATTCGGGCGCAACGAGCGAGGTATCTTATTTGAAATCCGTTGATCCCTATTTTGCTCCTCTCTATGGGCGCGCGTAGTGGGGGCATAGGGGTTCCCGGAATTCCACTCTCCTACTGTCCCTACACGGAGAGAAATGTTCAGTAAAAATTACGGAACTCACAATTCACTCACCGATTACGGAATCGACTCAGAAAATTTAAGTAACGGTATCGTCATTTTTCACTGGAGATTCAGATAAAAATCACGAAACGCTCCGGAAAAATTCCGTGACAGTTCCGTAAAATTTCCTACAATCACATTTCGCTCCGGAATTACGGAAAAGATACGTCATTTTTATTGAATATTTCTCTCCGTGTACGGTATCTTATAAGAAGCCTCTACCGTGTGATGAATCTGTTTCATTTACGAGACCGATCCGCGTGGACATCTTCAGAGAAAATTATCTCATTGTTGAAAAAAAAATAGAACACGTCCTTATTATTGCTAAGATTTCTCGGCAGCTGGCATTGTTGGAACTCCGGGTGTGCGTTAATGAGTGCTGATGAACAATGATGGAACTGTGGAAATCTGCAATTGATTCAGGTAGAGACGGTACAATAAGATAAAACACAAAAGCTTAACTGTTAGTTGAGAAAATAAAGCAAAAACTTGGAGATATTTTTTATCTAAAGTGAAAACAATCATGTGTTACAGCGTGTATGTGTGTATGACTGTTAATCGTCATAATTTTAATGGGGGATGTGCTTTAAATGTGGAAAAATTTATTTCATTTATATTCGATATTGCAATGTTTGTGAAATTCAATGAGACAGCCTAGACAGAAACCCATGAGAGTACAAAAGACCATTGATTCCATTGATTTCATCTTTCACATGCATGATGTATTCTCAACTGCGTCTTCACTCTATTCTCTCCATCTCTCCCCCGATACATTTTCTCTTCTATTTCTACTCATGCAGATGCGAGAATAATAACGCATTTATCGGAGACAATCTGTCGCGTGACTCGGACCGCTGGAAAAAAATGAATAAAACAGAGTTGTCGGATGGGGGCTTTGCGTGGTCGCTTATTGATCCGTAAAATAGAAAAAAATACTAAGATGGTCGAAACATTGATAGAGCGAGTTTAATGTGCTCAATGTTTTCATAGTGACAATTGGCATGAGGGGATAATTATATTCGATCAGTGTTCATTGATGTCAGAAAAATGATAACATTATTGGGAATCAATTCTGCGGTCGAGTTGAGTAAGAAGATTTTGATAATCGATTATTTATGTTGCTTCTTTTTCCACTCGATGCAGAAATTAAAAGGCTTGGTAAAAAAAGATGTTGAAATCCGAGGAGAATTTTACGTCGTGAACGCTCAGCCAAGAGGAGGTGAAAAAATCGGAAGCATAGCTTGAAAAATTTGTTCATTTCCCAGGAACTGGCTGAAACGAGTTGAAAGTGATTTGAAAGGAATAAATAATTTTTAAAAATGTTCAAAAACGCGAGGTGGTGGGTAATGGGTGCGCCGCCATTTTGCTTAGATATCCCCGCCCTCTGTCTGAAAAGGCTTTAAAGATGGCGGCGCACCACCTCGTACTTTTAAACATTTCTTAAAATGATTTTTCTCTCTCGGGTCGTCCTCAACTGGCTTCAAACCATTTCTGTGAAATGAAAAAAATTTTTAACCCATCTTTCAGATTTTTCCATCCGCTTTTGGCCGACACTTTATGGCACGTTTTCCTCGCATTTCAGCAGCCTTTTCTTCTTCCAAAGCCTCTTAAAATGCTTCTCATTGTCGATCGACGGGACAACGCGTGATTTAATGTTTCAATGTCAAGATGGAATAAATAAAAATCGACATGAACATTTTACTGTGAGAATCGTCATTTCTAGGGGTCCTCGAGACGTGCCAGTACTACAGCGCCAGTTTCTCCCCTGGCTACGAATATTTCGTTCTGGAGTGTCTGGGACCGGGGATTCCCACAGTTTCCCTTTACAAAACTGGAAAGCCTCAGCCACATTTCATCGCCGTTCTGCAGAATAATACGGCTCTGCGAGTGAGTATGAGCGCGAACGGAAAGGGAAAAATGTTCTGTTTTGTTCTTTTTTTCAGGAGAGAATCTCGAAAATAGCACTTCCGCAGATTAAAACCTTTCCAGTGCAGATCAGTGGGGGATACAATGCGCAAGTGAGACTTTATTTGCCACCGGGACTGAGGGAGGATGAAATCACAAAGTATCCTATGGTCGTTCAAGTGTAAGGATCAAACTCATGTACATGGGAAACTTTCTTACTTTAGAAAGAAGAGAGATGTGAAATATAAAATTGTCAGGGTTTCAAAAATTGATCTCATCATCATAAAAACCCGAAAAAATATATTTTGAAAATTATTCTACTCAGTTATGGAGGCCCAGGAACCCAGCTGGTGACAGACATGTTCAAAATCGACTGGAACACGTACCTAGCCAGCAGAAAGAATGTGATCGTCGCCCAAATTGATGGAAGGGGCAGTGGTGGACAGGGGTACAAGCTGCTTCACGAGGTTTATTACAGATTAGGGACTGTCGAAGTCGCTGATCAGCTGGAAGTCACCGAGTAAACGCCCTCACGTCTTTATCGCCTTCATCTTAACGATCATTACGATGATCTCAACAATTTATTTCAGGTATCTGAGGGATTCTCTGCACTTCGTGGATAAGAGGAGAGTTGCTGTGTGGGGATGGAGCTACGGGGGCTTCGTCGCCGCCCTGGCACTGGCCGAGCCTGAGCAGGATGTATTCCAGTGCGGAATCAGTGTCGCACCTATTGTTTCTTGGAAGCTTTATGGTAAAGAAATAATATTTGACATGTCTGAAGACATGACCAAAGCAATTGGAAAATTGCTTTCGTCACAACATTGTCAATATATTGTAATTAAGTTATGTGTTTATTTAGGTAATTAATATTTTATTTCGTGAAATGTTATGAATTGAACGTGATATAATTTACCTTAATTATTTGCTTGAATATTCCAAATGAGGAGGGCACAATATTCTAGTTCGTTTTTGATACTTTTGTCTCAAATAAATTCTTATTTTGTATTTTTAATATTACGTAATCTCGAATTGATAGGGGAGGGTCGGCTAAAATGGGGCATGTTGAGATCTTTCCCAATTGTCAATATTTTCATTTATAAGTGACAGTTTTGACAATTACAGAAGATCACGAAACGTCCTATTTTGCCCGACACTTCTCTAAATAAATATAATTTGCTCAATGCTTCCAAATACAGTTAAATTGACAAATATAAAGAGCAATGAGTGAACTATCCGAGCACGGTAAAGGTCGGGAAGCAATAGAGCAAGTTCAGTTGAGTAAGGTGCGAAGTGACTCGCCGAATCACGAGCGTCACATTTGGAGAAATTAATAAATTCTTGCACTCGTCGAAACGAAATTTCGAAATTTCGGTTTTGACGAATGCAGTGCTCCCATTCGAAAGCAAAATTACTGATTCTTTTGGTATTTTCAGATTCGGCTTACGCAGAGAGATACATGGGTCTGCCCAATGTCACCTCGAACTACAAGGGATACCTGGAGTCTGACGTGTACAGTAAAATCGAGTATTTACGACACAAGATGTTTTACCTAGTGCAGGGGACTGCTGATAACAACGTGCAGTTTCAGCAGTCGATGGCACTGGCCCGTCATCTCACTAAGAAGGGCATTCTCTTCCGACAACAGGTGAGATTATTGTTTTGTGAAGGTAACGAGGGTAAAAAAAATCCTATCACCCACTGCATCCATGATTTCAGGTGTATCCAGACGTAAGTCATAGTCTAGCTGGTGTCACTGGGCATTTGTACCTCTCAATGGCCCAATTTCTCGACGATTGTTTCACGAAACAAGTACCTGTTGACTCAAAAGCCGGTTTGAGCAGTGGTGGAGCTGATATCTAGCACCTCTCAACTGACTTTATTTCATTAAAATTGTGAAGAACTTGATTAGAGACACATAGTATTTCATTTGGGTGATAAAACAAATCCTTAAATTAGATCTGAAATCTAACTCGAGGATGTGAAATTCTAGTCAAAGCCAAATACAAGATTACGAATAATAGGGGTGAGTGATGAAAAAATAATGATTAATGCAATCTAAACATCTCCAAATTGTGTTCCGTTTAATAGAGTATATTTACAGAAGAGTGAAGTATATTGTATCGTATCACAACTTTTTGAATTAAACTCACAAACTCGTAGGTGAATATTTATCTCCTTTCTCCATTAGATCGACCAGCGTTTGTTAGATAAAATGAATTGCGGGCATTTCAGTAATATTGTATTGTATTTCAAATATGTTTTACATTTTATTGATTATTGTAATGATCTACACAGCCCTGGGAGTCTCACTAATGTCGATGAGAGAGGAACAAGTTTCATGTATATTTATCGTGTACATACGGCGATTAATGGTGATGATAAAAAGTTGGTGATTTATTTTTTCAATAATAATTAGTGAGACTTTCGGGACTCGACTAATGACAACACAAAGTCTTCTAAAACCTGCAACGGACAACATAAAATATCGTGAGAACTGAAAACACTCAATAATTGTAATAATTGGAGTAATCAAAAGATGAAAAATGTTGATAACTATTAATTCATTATAATTCACGTCTTTTAAATATTCTAAGGGAATAATGAGTCATTAAAGAGTAATTAAATCTACAACAACCGTGTTTATCTGGCACATGAATTCGTAATGTACGTAAGTCTAGGCTTTTATTATTACTATTTTTTTATCCACGTTACATATCAGACTTGATGAATTTTTTGTTCGAGCATCTGCCGAGGTGCAGCAACATGTGATTCTTGAGATTAGTCGGCTTACTGAAGCCACGACTGCAGATGTGACATCTGAATGGCCAGAGTCCGTTGTGCACGTACATGTGGCTTTTGAGATCGCCTGGTGTTGGAAATGATTTCGAACATTGGGAACACTTGTGTGGTTTCTCCTATGAATGGCGGAAAATTTTACGTTCATGATTATTTTCCTTTGTACGTGTTAACGAAATTATTCGTCAACGCCTGGGAATTGTCTTCGTCAAACTATGGGAATTCGTGAGGATGATAAAATCAACGGTAAATGTGGTAACTCCCGGTGAAGAGGTCGTGTGACTGTTTTAGTTAGTGCCAAAATGACACGTCGCTGTAGTTGATAACATTCGGAATTCATATGGATGATCACATCAATGGTAAATGTGGTAACTCCCGATAGCTCAAATGGTTAGCGAGCGAGCTCGTAATCTGAAGGTTGCGGGTTCAAATCCCACTTGTGCACTACAATTTTTATTCTGTTTTTTCTACATTGCAATGCTGGTACTGAATGTTTAAGATTCACTAAGGGCCGGCGCACAATCAAAAAGAACAGGGAATTGAGAACAGACATTAGGAACAGGGAACAATCCAACGCACAATCAAAAAATATAAACACAGATGACATGCGGAATAAAATTCATTCTGTTCGCCACTCGCAAATAAACATTCAAATATTGCATCACTTCAAATAAACAATCAAATTGTGAATTCTGTTCATGAATGTGGAGCAACGAATCAAATCATAAATCGAAATCTGGGATTTTTTTATCCCATATATGCGGATAGGATCGAATCAATTCAATCAATAACTCATCCCCCTCTTTACACTGTCGATTGACATCAACATCTTGCTTTTTATCCTCATCTGCCTGCATTTTATTTTGTACTTCCCTAAATTTTTTCGGGTATGTATGATCCAATGCCATGAGGAAGAGGCAGGTAAGCAATATTTTATATCTATATTCCAACAATTGTTCCTTGGTTATATTCCCTATTCCTCTATTGTGCGTTGAAACATTAATTACATAATGTTGAAATTTATTCTTTAGTCCTTGTTCCTAATGTTTGTTCTCAATTCCCTGTTCTTTTTGATTGTGCGCCGGCCCTAAGAGGATTCTGGAGAGCCCAAATGGTGACTTAGCAAGTCCAAGCGTGACGGTTTATAACTCGTTATCGCGGAGATGAATACATTCGATCCAATTAACAAGGGCACAATTCAACTGATTGGTTATTTTCAATCAAGCCATTCACTCTCACGAGAGAAATTTTCTCGAAAAAATCATTTTCAAAACACCTCATACTCGATGATCCTAAAAATAACTTCAGCATCTCCCGATATCATTGTTCACTCAAGAATTCCCGAAGACAAATTAATACCTCTCCCACCAAAAAAAAAAACCTCATGTAATGATTTTCGTTCGCGATGAAAGAAAAAAACCGGGCGCAGTAAAAACGTCATCGATTAAACGCGAGTCTGTTAATTCGTTTAAATTTATCGGGCGTTAAAATGACTTTGTGCCTTATATACACCGATGGCTCGTTTCAAGTAGCAAAACGTTAAACCGGTGTCGACAAAGAGAGGATGAAAGAGACCACAAAAAGGAGGAAAAAAGCCCGCAGAATAAGGAGAGGAGAGGAGCCCAAGACTCGATCACTAGAAAAAGACCGCTGGAACGAGGGGCAGAACGGGACCCACGAGGGGTGGGAGAGGGGAAAGGGGATGGGTTTAACACACGCGCGAGGCACGCACAAGTTAAAGCCGATGTTATAGTTGTGTATAGGTTGAAAAAGGGAATCGGTTTGAAACAGCCCGAGGATACATATACGTTCTCTGTCTCTCTAATTGGATTGCATTCCAAGCGGTAGCAAGTAATGGGCCAATTACAGTAGCTGATGGCAGCGCCAGCCTATATGGTATATACCGATCCCCAATACCCTCTTTTACCCCTTCCTCGTTACTCAAAAACAGCAGATATCATTACACGGAGGGATTAGAGAAACTCCATCTGTATATACTGTTTCCGTTCCGATTAATACGAACTCGAGTCGAGAGGATTGTTTATTGAAAAAAAAAACATCGTCAGGGGGTAAGTCGAGGTCTACTGGGCTTACACGGAGTGGAAATAACACATTTCCAATAAGAACATTCGCATGTCGTAATTTACATTTTAAGCAACGGAAAAATCTGCAAATACTCCGACGAATATCTTCATGGTCTTTCATTTTATTCACACTTCATTGATAAAAAATGAATACCACCGCAAATAATAATTTGATAGGAGGAAATCCGTTTATCCTAGCCAAGTATTTTCTTTAACGAGTTGTTCTCGCCGGATGGAAGCAGGCATAGAATATTTTAATGGATCAAGATATCACGCTTACCTTTATGTGAGTCATCCGATGATAGTAAAGATTGGAGGATGCTGTAAATTTTTTGCCACACACGAGACACTGATGTGGCTTTTCACCGCTGTGTATGCGTTTATGTGTGTTGAGTGAACTCGATGTTGAGAAGCCCTTGTTGCAGACCATACAAACGTGTGGTTTTTCACCTGAAGTAGGTGCGGATGAACAAAGCAAAAAGACGTTGCAAGAATTTTTGCAGTTCGTGTTACAATTGAGTTATTTTAAAAACAAGGGGATTTTTTCCTTGCAATTACCTGTATGAGTTCTCATATGACGCTTGAGTAACGACGGCCGATCGAATGACTTGCCGCAGACTTCGCATGGAAGGAGCACACGTTCACCTCGTTTAATTGTCGTTAAGATACTGCAGTCTAAGTGATCGCTGACTAGGGACAGGGTTGAGGATGACGACTCCTCGGATGTTGACTCGTACTCATCTACCTCGTAGTAGGTTGCTGATAGCGATGAGGATTGGTGCGATAACAGGGTTTTGGAGAGATCCAGCGGTGACTCTGGAAGTCCAATCGCGAGGGTTTATAACTCGTTATTGTGGAGACTAATTCATTTGAGTCAATTAACAATAGCACGATTGAGTTGACCGGTGACTCTTCATCCGAGGTTAGTTGCTCGGTGAAGAGGCTGTTTGACTGTTTTAGTTAATGCCAAAAATGGCACACGACTGCAATTGCTAATTGTCGAAGTTTATAAGGATGATAAAATCAATGGTGAATGTGGTAACTCCCGGTAGCTCGAATCGTTAAACACCGAGCTGGTAATCTGAAGGTTACGGGTTCGAATCCCACTTGTGCACTACAAGTTTTTTTTCTGAAATTCGTGTATTGCAGTGTTGGTATTGAATGTCTACGATCCGATAAGAGGATTTTATAAAGGCCAGTGGTGATTCTTCAAGTCCAATCGTGAGGGTTTATAACTCGTTATTGTGGAGACGAATTCATTTGAGTCAATTAACAAGAGCACGATTGAGTTGGTCGGTGACTCTTCATCCGAGGTTAGTTGCTCGGTGAAGAGGCTGTTTGACTGTTTTAGTAAGTGCCAAAAATGCCACACGACTGCAATTGCTAATTGTCGAAGTTTATAAGGATGATAAAATCAATGGTAAATGTGGTAACTCCCGGTAGCTCGAATCGTTGAATACCGAGCTGGTAATCTGAAGGTTACGGGTTCGAATCCCACTTGTGCACTACAAGTTTTTTTTCTGAAATTCGTGTATTGCAGTGTTGGTATTGAATGTTTAAGATCCGATAGGAGGATTTTATAAAGGCCAGTGGTGATTCTTCAAGTCCAATCGCGAGGGTTTATAACTCGTTATTGTGGAGACGAATTCATTTGAGTCAATTAACAATAGCACGATTGAGTTGGCCGGTGACTCTTCATCCGAGGTTAGTTGCTCGGTGAAGAGGCTGTTTGACTGTTTTAGTTAATGCCAAAAATGGCACACGACTGCAATTGCTAATTGTCGAAGTTTATAAGGATGATAAAATCAATGGTGAATGTGGTAACTCCCGGTAGCTCGAATCGTTAAACACCGAGCTGGTAATCTGAAGGTTACGGGTTCGAATCCCACTTGTGCACTACAATTTTTTTTTCTGAAATTCGTGTATTGCAGTGTTGGTATTGAATGTTTAAGATCCGATAGGAGGATTTTATAAAGGCCAGTGGTGACTCTTCAAGTCCAATCGTGAGGGTTTATAACTCGTTATTGTGGAGGCGAATTCATTTGAGTCAATTAACAATAGCACGATTGAGTTGGCCGGTGACTCTTCATTCGAGGTTAGTTGCTCGGTGAAGAGGCTGTTTGACTGTTTTAGTTAATGCCAAAAATGGCACACGACTGCAATTGCTAATTGTCGAAGTTTATAAGGATGATAAAATCAATGGTGAATGTGGTAACCCCCGGTAGCTCGAGTCGTTAAACACCGAGCTGGTAATCTGAAAGTTACGGGTTCGAATCCCACTTGTGCACTACAAGTTTTTTTTCTGAAATTTGTGTATTGCAGTGTTGATATTGAATGTTTAAGATCCGATAGGAGGATTTGATAAAGGCCAGTGGTGACTCTTCAAGTCCAATCGCGAGGGTTTATAACTCGTTATCGTGGAGATGAATTAATTCGAGTCAATTAACAAGGGCGCAATTCAATTGGTCGGCTATTTTTATTCAATTTGAAGACACTGATTTAAAGTGACGCGACTCCGCTCATTGGCTTATAAGGACCGTCCAGATAAGAATTGTATTCGATAGGTTTATTCTTTGCCGGTCTTCTCCCTTTGCCATACGCCGGCAATCGTGGCGCAATCGTCCAGCCAAGAGAGTATAAAAGAGATTAAAAAAGAAGGGCTGGAGGTAAAGTATCAAAGAAGACGAAGAAGAACCGGGATAAAAAGGTAAAACTGCCTACAAATCTGAAATGCAAATACTCGGTTCGACCGAGGGATATTCTTTTTTCGTTTCGTTCTTACAGATTACAAGTCCTTGCCGCTTCTGATTCAAATTGTGTAGAACGAAGGGTGGACGATTTAAAGGACAGTACAATGGATGGGTTGAGTGCATAGACGGGCCTTAGTTGCGAAATGTCGGGGGGAGGGGGGGGGCATTCTTTTTANCATTCTTTTTACCCTCCGATTTTTGGATGAATGGATATGGGGGAAAAATGAAGAGAGTGAATTATGAAGCTTTTAAAGACCGAGACAGGATGCAGAGTGAAGTGCAATCGGTTTGAGATAGTGGTATCATCATGACATTTGCATATGACTGGGATAGCAGGTACAAAATAACTTACCAGCGAGAATTGAGTCGATGGTGCACCTGTAGATTGCTGAACGTGAACAGACGTCACGCGATATGAAGACAAGATCTTCGTGGGATGCTGGAAGAAACCAGGCGACAAGCTCCGAGTCTGGCTGGACATCCTTGATTACTTCGAATATCGGCTCTCCTGATGCATTAAGCGTCATTTCAAATATTTTTCCAATTATTTTCTTGAATCGCTAGTTAATTTTTACTGGCCAATTGTTCTGGGACATAAATTGTTAATGAACTCAATAGTTACCTTTGACTTTGGTACCAATGAGATTCACATGATCACTGTACCCCTGCACAATCCTCAGAAATCTTATCCAATTACACTTGCGATGATTGAGATTATAATTCGAGAATGAAACTTCATCGTAACATCCGTACTCCCGTCTTATCTAAAATGTGAATATGAATACACGTGAGGAATGGACTCCTATGGTTGGTCTGCAGGGTTTAAGATACTCACGTCGTTATCATCGAGCAGGGAGTACAGATCGATTTTATCGAACCTGATGGACCCCTGGAATGGATAGATGAGAGTGCCACTGGGTATGAAGACATTGGACCACACTGATATCCTGACATCAGCGATGTTTGTGTCATTCTTAAAAATTCCTATGTCCCTTTTGCAGTCGCTGGCGAGGGCCAGGGAGAATTCCTTTGGTATCAGCACACAGGTCTCCATCCTCCGAGTGGTCCACACGTCTCAATCACCATCGAGTTCTTCAGATATTCAAGGGTGTTAATGTCACTGATAATGACTTCTTCTAAGACAACCCACGAAACTTCAGCACGACAGATGGAGGAATCGTGAAAAATGAGGCGTACTCAGGTGATTTCGAAGAACCACTCAATTAAGGGGTTGAAAATTGTTCGGAATCTCTGCCTTGCGGAGCCGATGGTGCAAGGTGCAAGGCCCTTGGCTGACTGGGTATGGGATTAACCGACTGATCTTGACCTTGCGACGGTTTTATAGCAAGCAAGCATTTGCTACCGAATGGGTAGCTCAAAGCTGCCCCTCCTGCTCAACCAAAGAGGCTCCACCTCCCAACGAAAACCCACACATCTTCTCCCCACCTATCCCCATAATCCATGAAGCCACAAGGAAGCCGTTTTTCCCAGTTTTATTTTTCATCCCCCATCCTGCCTCATCCCAAGGTGCCCACGTGGGCGACTCAGAGGCACCTGTCGAGTCATTTCATCTCCCTTCCACTCTCACCAATTGCCATAGAACCTGTCTGAAAACACGTTTTATTTCTCTCATCCTCTCTTTCTCCCTTTTATCCTCTTTCTTATTCTTTTCGTACGAAAACGATCGCCTGCCAACCTGCCTTCCAACGAGCGCAACTACATACGAGGCCGGATTGCACTCCCCTTTCTTCCCGGTCGCCATCCTCCTCCGGCTCTTCGGCACTGTAACATCGTCGTCTTCCTTCTTTGATCGTTTCGCAAACTCGTCGCGGCTTTTATTCCACCATATTTTCCATATTTTCCTCGTTTGAGTGGTCACTGGGGTTTTAAGGCTGTCGTGAACAGGGACATTTGTATGCGTTTTGAAAGGGGATAGGCGATGGGAGGGGGATACGAGGGATCAAACTACTCTGGTTGGATAACTACTGGGTGTCTGGTTTCAGGGCTTTCGATTTTAATTTTTCGACATTTTTCCGGGGTGCGATGACTTGGTCATTTGGATGGGAGTATTGAAGAGGCTGTTTGACTGTTTTAATTGCTGTCGAAAATGACACATTGCTTAATTAGTAACAACCAAATGTTGTGAGGATGACAAAATCAATGGTAAATGTGGTAACTCTCGGTAGCTCAAATGGTTAAAGAGCTAGCTTTTTTTTCAGCGCAATATCATTAAATATAAAATAATATCTGCTACTGATTGGAGCACAAAAAACATTTTTTTTCTTTTCATAAAAATAAATACTGATATGGAAAACATCAAATTAAAAAAGATAACCAGATTAAACTCGAGAGTCACTAAGTGAACATAGTTTATTTTTTAAAAATTTTAAGATATTTCATTAATTTTTTTTACATCTGTTTTTTTTATGTAAATAGCTGTATATAACTGTAAATAATCTGCTGTAACTTTGAATAAAAACATGGTTAAGCAAAAAAAAAAGTTGAAGAGCTTGCTAGTAATCTGAAGGTTAAGGGTTCGAATCCCATCGGTGCGCTACAATTTTTTTCTGACAATCATGTATTGTAGTGTTCAATACATGAACACATGACATGACATGTATTGGCATGTCTAGGATTTGCATGTTACCATTAACGAACTGTCGCACTTATTCGTCTGACGAGAGTAACTTTTCCCTCTCGGGCCTCTTCTTCTTCCGATCCGACAGCTTCTGAAACTGATCAAAAACCTTTTTCCGGGTCGAAATCTTCTCCTTCCCCTGATGAGGCTTGACCCTCTCCGCAGTTCTCGGTCTCCTCGTCACCCCTGGAGACATCGCCCCTTCCAAGCTCTTCTGAAACCTGCAAAATTCCATACAATCATTAGAACTTGGGTGGAGCTCATATACTGAGAAAAAAAATTTCTCATATTTGAAACATATTTTCTTGAGAGGAACTCGGAACTCGAATAAATTTTCATTCATCACTATCGTTCCGCTTTACGTCATGAATATTTCACATATTGCAATATTGGAAGTGCATAACGAAAAAATCATGAAAATGACAAAGACTAGAAGATTGACGATTCTTCTACGCGATTTAAGTAAGTTCATTTGCGACAAAATCATACTCGAGTAAAAGAATATTTTAAAGGATGAGGCCTTTCTCGGGTCATGTGAGTTGAGATGCCTGAGAGAATTAAGCAATTGAAGAAAATTTACTTGTCTCAAGAAACTATGTTTCAGATATTGGAAAATTTTTTTCTCAGTGTAGCAAATCCCCGCTGACCTCAGGTACACAATTGTCCCCGCAATGATGCACAACGTGATGACCAGAAAAATAATAAGCGCACTAGCCGCGACGAAGCCCTCACTTGGCATCCACCCAAATATCGGTCTAGTGAGTCTATCCTCCATGAGATGTGTCTTCCAATTAGGCGGCCCAATGACATTAACAAATATCGCATTAGTCGTCCAATTGAAGCCCAAGTCGTCCTGCCTGACAACACATCTCCACATGCCGCGATGAGTTCCATTCAGTGCAGGTACTAGATCGACATTGACGGAGATTGGCTGAGTTGTTCCATAATCCTTCCACATTTTGTTATTAATACTCCAAGATACTTTGAGATCATTATACAAGTAGCCAATAATAACGCAGTGACAGACAGCAGTCATGGGCAGAGTCTCCCGGAGTGTCACGATGTTCCTAACAGGCAGCACAGCTAGACTCACAAGTTTAAGAATCATATGCGTCTCATCAACTCGATGCAGAGTTATCGTGTAGACGCCCGAGTCATTCACCTCACTTCGTTTTATCACTGGGTGAAACGGATAAATATCAAGTGAATTAATAAACTGAAATTCCCGATGATGTTTATCAGTCTCAACAAGTTTTTCTCCTGGCATTTATTACCTATATCGTGATCAACTAATTGGACTCTTTCTTCATCTGGATTGAGGAATATACCATTATGGGACCAATTGATATCGGAATCGGGCGACTCCCGGGTAATAATCTCGATCGCGTCTGCATCCGATGGAATTATGACGCTTTGGCCCTCTTTGATGATTATGGATGTGTGATTTAGACGGGCTCTTCGTTTTATTAGATTGACCGTATCCTCCGTTATATCACCGCATAATATGGTGTTACATTTGCCTGTCATTACACTCGGGCCCATACATGGCTCGCCTTTAATGTTTGGCTCGGGATTATTGCAGTAGCGTTTCCTGGTACCTACTCCACCGTTGCAACTCGCACTGCACGCCCACGGGCTCCATTCGGACCAGCCACCGTCTATCGGGTCGCCGTCGATGTCTTGACGTTTTTTTACATTATTATTTAATACAAGATCTAGGCGCGCGCTGATCTATTCATTTGTTGAAATGAAGAAATGGAATTCATTGAATGTCATTTTCTCATGAATACCTTATAAATATTGATAATGAATCAAAGAGAATTCGACTAATGATTGAAGTAAATAGCGAAGTAGAGTAAAAGAATCTATAAAGAATTTTTCATTTTCAATTAATTATCTTCAATTTTTTAAATAATCGGTCTCCGTAAAAGGACAGAATTTATTAATTTCACCGATGATATATATACATGTGAAATATCTATATTATATATATATGACGTGAAAAAAAAATTTACCACTGAAGAATTTGAAATTATGTCACTGAAGAATTTGAAAATGCCGCGTGTTTTTTTCAAGTAGTTTTCAATAGAATTCCAAGAGAATTTTCTAGCGAATTTGCTAGGTTTTCTATTGCATTTTTTCATGAGTGATGATTACAATAATTAGTACCACTAAATAAATAAATAAAATAAAATAAATAAATTAAATATAAATAAATTAATAGCACTAAATAAATAGTGTGTTCATTGTGGGGCTTTATCCTAGGCCTCAAATAAACGCTTTCATATTACATCATATGATAAAATCATGCGGAAAGTTCGTGGAGCATATAAAGACTTAAATTTTGCCCACTGGATTGGAATGATGTCCCCAAAAATGACGCGAATTGTCCTGATGGAGAAATCACATCGAATATAATGTGAAAATCCCACTGATGTAATTACGAAGTGTCTCAAATACCATTGGAAAGCGCGTATTTCTTCTATTCTTACCTGGGGGCAAGCAATTTGCTGTCCAAGTCGCCCATCCACCTTTATCAACTCCCAATGAGAAGAAATAGAACAAGAGTGGATGGATGTGGACGTAATTAAATGTCAGGGTTTCATTCCAGTAAACGTCGATGGTCGAGTTGTACCAGCTGCTCGGAAAATTCATCAGCGTAATAATTTATAACCGGTAATTGATTTAATTGGTAAATTAATCCAAGTGAGAAGAACGGAATTACATTATCGTGATGTTTGTCCATGTGTCCTTGGTGAACACGCGATGGGGCGCCTTTTGTTTGTGGTATATCTGTACGTTCGGGTAAGTATTCTTGATGAAGAATATCCATTCGTCTAGCTCACCGAGAGTCACTGCGTAATATCTGACCAAAAATGGAAGTAATTTATGGTAGAATTGATAGAATGATAATTCAGATTGTTAATTGGTGCGAATGGAACAACAATTCAATTCTAAATTTAATTTAATTTAATCATTAAAAATAATTTAATAATTAATTTTTAAAATTAATAAATAATTAATTAATAATTAATTATTAATGAATTTAATAATTATTCTTAATAATTTAATTAAAAATAATAATAATAAAATAATAATAATGTTTTTTTGCCTCTCTTTCGACGAGGCAGTGGATAATTGTTAATCATCACGAAGAATTAAATGTGAAGAATACCCGGGAGTGGCCGGAAACAATAACAATGGAACCAAAACAACTCCCTCTGCTCTGATCATCAGCTCGATCCTCTGGGTCGACGATTTTATCGGAATTATCCTCGTGAATCTCTCGGTTTGAGTATTTTCCACGAGACATCCTAGATTCGTTCATCAAAGCGACATTAAGTCAATCAATTTTACCACGAAAATTCGACTCACTCGATAGACAGCCGAAAGAGACGCCTATAGTGTTTCCCAAT